ACCCGGCTTGAGAAGGTCACAATAAGGCTCGAGCGTTTAGCCTCACAAAGAAATATCCTGGGTTTGAAAGAGCTTACTGCAATGTTACCCAAACAAAGGTTGCCAACAACATCTCTTGTGGATGAATCTGAAGTGTTTGGTAGAGCTGACGATAAAGATGAGATCATAAGATTTTTGATTCCTGAAAATGGAAACGATAACGGGTTAACCGTTGTAGCTATTGTTGGAACTGGAGGGGTTGGCAAAACAACACTTTCACAACTCCTATACAATGATCAGCGTGTTCAGAGTCATTTTGGAACTAGAGTCTGGGCTCATGTCTCAGAAGAGTTTGACGTTTTTAAGATCACCAAAAAGGTTTATGAGTCCGTTACTTCCCGACCTTGCGAATTCACCGACCTGGATGTACTTCAAGTCAAATTGAAGGAGAGATTAACAGGAACAGGCTTACCGTTTCTACTTGTTCTAGATGATCTGTGGAATGAAAATGTTGCTGATTGGGATCTTCTACGCCAACCTTTTATACATGCTGCTCAAGGGAGCCATATTCTTGTGACAACACGAAGTCAACGTGTTGCATCCATTATGTGTGCTATCCATGTACATAACCTTCAGCCACTATCTGATGGAGATTGCTGGTCGTTGTTTATAAAAACTGTATTTGGTAATCAAGATCCGTGCCTAGATCGAGAAATTGGAGATCTTGCGGAAAGGATAGTGCACAAGTGCCGTGGCCTGCCTTTGGCTGTGAAAACACTTGGTGGCGTTCTACGGTTTGAAGGTAAAGTCAAAGAATGGGAGAGAGTTTTAAGCAGCAGGATTTGGGATCTTCCAGCTGATAAGAGCAATCTACTTCCAGTTTTACGGGTTAGCTATTACTACCTTCCAGCTCACTTGAAACGATGTTTTGCCTATTGCTCAATATTTCCAAAAGGGCATGCATTTGAGAAGGAAAAAGTAGTTCTTTTGTGGATGGCAGAAGGTTTCTTGCAACAAACGAGAAGCAATAAAAATCTAGAAGAACTCGGAGATGAGTACTTTTATGAACTACAATCAAGGTCGCTTTTTCAAAAGACCAAAACGAGATATATTATGCATGATTTTATCAATGAGCTCTCTCAGTTTGCTTCAGGAGAGTTCAGCTCGAAGTTTGAAGATGGATGCAAACTTCAGGTGTCAGAAAGGACCAGATATTTATCGTACCTACGAGATAATTATGCAGAGCCTATGGAGTTTGAGGCTCTTCGCGAGGTCAAGTTTCTCAGAACTTTTCTACCAGTCAGCCTTACAAATTCTTCTCGGTCATGCTGCTTAGATACAATGGTCAGCGAGAAGTTACTTCCAACACTCACCCGCTTGCGTGTTTTGTCTTTATCACATTACAAGATCGCGAGGCTGCCGCCAGATTTTTTCAGGAACTTAAGCCATGTTCGGTTTTTGGATCTCTCTCGCACTGAACTAGAAAAACTTCCGAAATCCCTTTGTTATATGTACAACCTCCAGACACTTTTGATCTCCTACTGTTCTAGCGTGAAGGAGCTACCTACAGACATTAGCAACCTCATCAATCTGCGGTATCTTGATCTAATTGGGACGAAGCTAAGACAAATGCCGCGGAGATTTGGTAGATTGAAGAGCCTCCAGACTCTTACAACTTTTTTCGTGAGTGCTAGTGACGGGGCAAGGATTTGTGAACTTGGAGAGCTTCATGACCTTCATGGAAAACTCAAAATAATTGAGCTACAACGAGTTGTGGATGTTGGTGATGCTGCAGGAGCAAATTTAAACAGCAAGAAACATCTGAAGGAGATAGATTTTGTCTGGAGAACTGGATCTAGTAGCTCAGAGAGCAACACAAATCCTCACAGGACGCAAAACGAAGCTGAAGTTTTTGAGAAGTTACGCCCGCATAGTCATATCGAGAAACTCACCATTGAGAGATACAAAGGAAGAAGGTTTCCTAAGTGGTTAAGTGATTCTTCATTCTCAAGAATCGTGTGTATACACCTCAGAGAGTGTCAATTCTGTTCCTCCTTGCCATCTCTTGGTCAACTACCAGGTCTCAAAGAACTTAACATTTCAGGAATGGCCGGGATTAGAAACATAGGTCCCGAGTTCTATTTCAGCGATCTACAACTGCGGGATAGAGACCAACAGCCGTTTAGATCACTTGAAACACTGCGATTTGATAACCTGCCAGATTGGCAAGAGTGGTTAGACGTAAGGGTCACAAGAGGAGACTTGTTCCCTTCTCTCAAGAAACTTTTCATACTGAGATGTCCAGCGCTAAGGGGGAATCTACCTACCTTTCTTCCTTCTCTGATCTCTCTTCATGTCTATAAATGCGGCCTCTTAGATTTCCAGCCAGACCACCACGAATACAGGAACCTTCAAACACTAAGCATAAAAAGCAGCTGTGACTCTCTCGTTACATTTCCTTTAAGCCAGTTCGCCAAGCTCGAAAAGCTTGAAATTGATCAGTGCACATCCTTGCACTCTCTTCAGCTCTCAAATGAGCATTTGCATGGTCTAAATGCCCTAAGAAACCTGAGAATCAATGACTGTCAGAATCTGCAGCGTCTTCCAGAGCTAAGCTTCCTGTCTCAACAATTGCAGGTCACGATCACGAACTGCAGGTATCTCAGACAGTCAATGGAACAACAGCATCAATATCATCATCCTCAGTTTCATCTTCCTAGATCAAACGTTTCAGGCTCACCGAGGTCTCATGGTTCACAGAGATCATATGATTCACGTTCATCTTCAAGATATGACTAAACCTGATTCGGTCCCATCAATCAGATACCTTTTTCTCTGTGGCTCTTCCTTTCTAGTTGTGTATATATATTATGTGTACTACTGTTGTGAGTTTTGTAACAAGTATTTTAATTTTTTTTCCCCAGTCACAGGGTTTCCAACTAAAAAATAGAAACATTAGCACTTTTTCATCAGATATAGAAAATATAAGGGTACCATTTGTAATAAAAAAGGCTGATCTAAAACGGCCCAATGGGTTTAGGCGTTTAACCTTAAGTTCATAGCCAAGCACACACCTTTTTCTCATATTCCAAAATTGATCCAAAATTGAAATGTTAACCCAAACAAAACATACCCAAATGGAATGAGATAATATTTTAGAAAACTCCTGGAAAATCATAAACACATATTACCTTATAAAGAAAGTTTTAGAAAACAAGTCAATACAAATCCACGGTAGCCAATGACACAATCTATAGATTTTTTTTTTTTTTTTAAATTATTGATAAACATTGCTAAATCCACTAGTTTTTTTTTTTTTTTAATTCTCTAACTTTTAAAGTCAATAAATCTACACATATCAATAACTTTTCTAATATATTAAATTTTGATAAGTTTTCTGTATAAATTTGAATTTTCACGTAGGAGAGATTATAGGGATCTAGTTTCATTAAAAAAAAAAAAGAGATTATAGGGATCTGATTTTTTTTTGTCAAAATTATAGGATCTGATTAAGTTAAGGATTTTACGTTTTATTGCATATTTGCAATAGAGAAAAGATACGAGAGTTTTTAGTTTTTAACTTGGGTTTTGTCGAGGGGCAAGAGATAATTCTCTTCTAGGGAAAAGCTACGAGAGTTTTTACTACGTCAATAGTTTGATTGAAGTAAATTGGTAAGAAACTAAGAAGATCGTCCCGGACATCTGCAACGTCCTCCCACGCTTTTTTGAAAATATATGTTTGATTTGGTTTTTTTACTCGTAATCTCCGCCGTCTTCTTAGTGGCGGTTATCATCCTAAGCTGCGTCATCACCAACGATGCAGATATTCACTCTCCACCGCCGCTTCCACGACCAGGGCAGATCCGGATGCCTGTGTATAGAACCAAAGATAAAGATTTAGGAGGCAATGACACGGCCATATCAGTGGCTGGAACCGATATCTATGGTGGTTCAGGTGGTGGTTCTGGCGGTGATGGAGGTAAAGGCATCATCGCCAGCGATACAAAGCTTCCTTCTCCACCTCCGCCTTCACCACTCCCACCACGATCATTGCAGCGACCGAAACCAGTGTCTAGAAAAGAAGATCGAGATTTGATAGGCACTAATATGTTACTGGCTTCATCCCTTCTCAATAGTGGTTTCCGCTGGTGGTTGTAGCGGTGGCGGCAGTCATGGATATAGTTGTGGCGATGGGGGAGGTGGTGGTGGCGGCGGTTGTGGTGGCGGTTGTGGAGGCGGTTGCGGAGGTGGATAAGTTATTTCTGAAAGTGCTAATAATCACTGACTATGTTTCATGAAGTCAATATGTTTTTTTTTTTTTCCTGCAAATTTTGATATACCTTTATTAAATTATATATTAACTGTTTACAATAAAACGATCTAGTTTACATGACTGTTTGGTTTGCTTAATCAAGATGGTTCACACAGATCATATGAATCACCTCACCCTCAAGAGTCAAGATATGACTAAAAGACCTTTTTCTTTGTTCCATTTTGGTTATTTCTCTCAGTCACAACCGCACAGGGGATTTTGTAACTAAAGAAAAATCTTAGTACTTTTTCATCAAAGATTAAAATATAAGGGTGCAAATTGTAATAAACAAATCCATCGTTGAAAATATTCCAGGAGCTGAAGCCCAATATTGAGTGCTTATAAAGTTACTATTATAGAGAGGTTAAAGGAAGAGGTTCTGAAACTTCTTAACAAGGCAGAGTAATCCCGGTTTGGGATTCCCCAAGAAATGACAAGGTACAAACTCTTCTACTTCTCGAGTGTTAGTTAAGAGAAATCTGAGATCTTTCATGGAAGAAGAAGTGTACAATCCTAGTTTAGCTGTGTAATCCAGCCATTTGCAACGAATCATGCATGAAATATTGTTCAAAGTTCAAACCAAAGCATTAAGTTAACACAACATCCCCGAATAGACTTAGATGGGTAAACTGGAGTCTTGAAATTTATTTTTAAAGATATATATCGAGAAAGAAAGCAACGATTAACTTAGAACTGGTGTATGTTTGACGACATTATGAAAGGGTTATTGGGTGGAGGTACAAGGATGTCATAAAGTGTTCGATTTTGCCTTTGGGATCACTGTATCCATCACCTTCCGTGTAGAACACATCGAAGATGCGTGCCAAGTTGAGGCATCGCAGAAGAACTTGGCGCGGCACATGATCATGTGTGTTCAGGAACTCCTCCATAACCACTTTGTAGTTGTCTCTGTACATTTTACGCAACTCTTGGGATGCTTCTTCCTTGGTGACTCCATGTTGTTTCATGTAGGCAGTTGAGCCCATTAGCTACCTCTCCTCTGCTCATCTCGGTCTGCAAATCGTTTATTCATGAGGACTACATAAAGAGAAAAAAAAAAACACAAAAAAAAAACAAAGAGATCCCAATAATTTGAAGTGTACCTCGTAGGTTCCTACGTCATTTGCTAGACGGAACATTAAAGACAGATGTTTGATGATTAGGGGTTTGGAATCGAGCCAGTCATAAGCTTCCTTCTCATTTATATCTTCCATACCAATAAAGCTGTACGCTGCAAAATCACCCATCGCACCTGTCACATACCCAACCTTCATGTACTCATCAAAGGTTGATACATGACCCGTCCGTGCCCACTTTGTTATCTCTAGGTATGCCTTCACAAGGATCTTGAGCTGTGTATGGACTCGAAGAACTAATTAGAGTCCACTAACTATATATACAGATTGGTTTCAAATTTCGCTTGTTTGGCTAGATTACCTTCTCTACCGCTTGTTTCACGCCGTATGATCTTCCTTTCGGTCTCATTTCTCGTTCAATCTCTCCTATGACTTCAAATAAACTTATAAGGACGATTCGCAAATAGTCTGGTAGTTGATCACTAGCAGCAATGTTCCACCTGGTCAAACCAAAATTTTTTCCCATGCTTGAATAAATCTAAAGAGAAAGAAAGAGACATACTTATAGTAAATAGTACCTCTGCAAACATTCCGTAAGAGCGGTAACTTCGGGAAGAGTTGCATATGCATCATATGTGTCATCCACAACAACCACGATCATCATGATTTTAGCCAATATGATTCTCCCAAGGGAATACTGTGGCTCAAAATACGTTCCCAGAGACCCAAAGTGGCACTCCACAAGTCTATCCCTAATGTAAGGTAACTTAGATGCAAGATCTAAGTCCTTCCCCATCTGCAACCATAAAAGTGAATGGATTAGGAAAATTGAAATTGAGACCAATGTTATTAACAAGATTGAAGATGATTATATTACTTGGTGAGAGTCTTGAGTTCTTGGATGTAATGAAACTGGCAAAGTTGAAGTTAAGCTTTGCAAACTTAAGCAGGATTTCGTCCGTGACCTTCTTCATGTTCGTAGTAAGATATATATTCTCTTGCCACTAGTACTTCTATGTTACAGTATCGAGGTATGTATAAGGAGTTTTGTATATGCTTGAAGAGATGGGGAGTAGCACCAGATACGTTACCACCTATCCAAGACTCCAAGTGATTTCGCGTGAAACTTAGTGCTTCGTCCATTATATCTTCAGAGGGTGTTCCGAGATGCGAGACTTCGAACAACTGTAGCATTCCTCTAACATCTGTGGCTAGACTCTCCTTGAACCTCCCATCTTCACCTCTGAATCTATCAAAGGCATCTACGGTGAAATCACACAGCCAAGTAGATCAATTAGTAAGTGCATATGATATGTTATGTTATGAATGTGCTATATACATGCATGTGAATAAAGGAAACTGATATTCTTACCACAAGACATCTTATGACCGTATAGCCTAAAGACCTCAAACATAATAGAGATTGTTTCCAAATCATTTTCCTTTTCTATTATGTCTTCCAACTTTGTGAAACTGTGGTTAAGGATATCTTGAATCTCCTTATCAAAATGATAAGAGATCCCCATGCTGACAAGCAAATGGATGAAACGAATCTTCTCCTTGTAGCTATTGTGAGAAGACATGAGCATGTCTCTCACCAGTGGCTTGGTAGTTTTAATCTCTCTTTCTAGTTCATAAAATTCCTAGAAAATGAATACAAAATGGCTGGTCAAGAATCATGGTTTATGCAACAAGATTCGTGAAAACTTGTCATATGCACTTACAGCGCTATCGAGGGAAACAGAGAGGAAGTGATCTCCCCAAAGAGAGGGAGAAAATTGCGTCAAAGGACGACTACTCTCAAGATCATCATTACTCTTAGTAGACCTTACAACGAACAAGTCGTGTTTTGTGGGCTTCCAAGAAAGAGTGTGGCTGTGAAGCAAACGGCGAGGAAAGAGAGAGAGGTTTTGTCTTAAGACAGTGAGAGGATTTGGGAAGGTAAGAGAAAGATCCGAGTCCAAAACACATTCTTGTTGCTTCCATTTTTGGTCACAGTCGAGAGAGAGAGATAGCTACTCTGTTTTATGATGTTCTGTTTATATCTCCGAAGCTTTCTCATATCTGCTCTTATTTCAAGGAAGCTATGCGGTCAACGGCCAGGAAGCATTTAATGAATATATTTTGAAAATAAAGAAATCTCTCTGTATACATATATGATCCGGGAAAATGGGAGGGAAAAACGTGTTCTCATATTATTTTTTTAACTTGGTTTTGAAGCAAACGCCGAGGAAATTTAAAAGTGGATGCTGAATCTCTGTCCTCTGATCTGCATTTCATTTATAGAAAGATATGTTCACTTGACTAATTTTTTTTTGCAGGAAACCATTGATACATGGAGAATCTCCAATTCAAAAGTTTGTTTAGTGTTTGAACTTAGAACTAGCTAAATTATAAACTATATCTATGTGTACGCCTTGGCTCTTGGCTTAATTTATTGCGGGAAGGGCATGAAAAATGTAGAATACAAAGCGTTTTATTCAAAGCGTTTTCACTTTATCAAAGTGGGATTGGATGGATGAAGAAAGAAGTGATGACTTCTTTGAGCTTTCCGAAAGAAGGATCTGTGAATTCATCACTATCCCTGTAGTAAAGATCAACGGGTCGCGAAACGTTGAGGCATCGCACCAGAATCGGGCGTGGCACAGCAGTTGTCGTCAAGTACTCTTCCATTATTATTTTGTAATAATCACTAGCCATCTTGTTCAATTCTCCAACCGCTTCTTCTTTGGTAACACCATGCTGCTTCATGTAACAATTCAGCCCTTTAGCCACATCTCCTCTGCTCGTCTCTTTCTGCTCATTCATTACGCTATTGTTTAAGTTAATTTGTAAGACAAAACTTGTTGTTAATGTGATTGTTTGTTGTCATGATTTTGTATTTATTACCTCATAGGTAATTATGTCGTTCTTAAGACGGAATACGCCATTTAAAGCTTCCATCATTTTGGGTCTGGAATTGTACCACTCGCACGTTTGATTCTCATCACAATCTTCCATAACGATAAAACTATAGGCTGCATATTGATCCATTGATGTTTGCATCGCAAACTCCATATACTCCTCAAAGGTTGGCACGTGACTTGCGCGTGCCCATTTTGCGAGGGCCAAGTATGCTTTCCCCAACTTTTTCATCTATATGCAAAGCAATCAGTATTTCTTAAAGACACAAACTTGACTACAATTTCCAATTTGGAAGACTCACCGCATCTATGGCTACTTGCACACTGTGTGATCTTCCTCGTGGCCTCATTTCTTGTTCAATCTCTTCTAAAGTATCAAACACACTTCGAAAGACGATTCTTATATAGCTTGGTAGCTTTTCAGTTTCCCCAAGATCCCACCTAGGGATAAAATTTGCATGTCAGTTTACCTACTCTTAATTTTTTTTTAAGAAACAGGAGTTAGGAGTTGAAGACAACACCTTTGGAAAGAATCAACGAGACTTGTAACTTCAGGAAGAGTTCCATATGCATCACATGTGTCATTCAAAACAGTCGCAAGCATGGAAAGTTTAGTGACTATATTTCTCCCAAGCGAATACCGTGGCTCAAAATACATTGTGAGTGTCCCAAAATAGACCTCTACAATTCTGTCCCTGATATAAGGTAGCTTAGATGCAAGATCTAACTCCTTCCACCATCTGCAATAAACATAAATATTCAAGTAAAGGAAGACTAACATATATCAAGATTGAAGAAATGACCACAGCTTACTTGGTCAGATCTTTTAGCTCTTGGATGTAATGAAGCCGGCAATAATTAAAGTTGAGCTTTGCAAACTTGAGCAGCGTCTCGTTGTGATCTTCTTCTTGATCGTAGAAAGAGATAAATTCTCTTGAGACTATTATCTCCATGTTATGATATCGAGCTCTATTCAACGTGTTTTTTATATGCATAGAGAGATGGGGACTAGCACTAACTGCGGGATGACCTATCAATGACTCCAAGTGATACCGAGTGAAACTCAATGCTTCGTCCATTATATCTTCAGATGGTGTCCCGAGATGTGCTGCTTCGTACAACTGTAGCATCCCTCTAATATCTTCAGCTAGACTTTCCTTGAACCTCCCATCTTCACCTTTGAATCTATTGAATGCATCTACAATGAAGTCCAAAGCCAAATTAGATATGTGTGTGTATATATATGTGAATCAAGGTCACCAATACACTTACCGCAAGGCATATAGTAACCTCGCAGTCTGAAAACCTCAAACATGATGGAGATTGTTTCCAAATCATTTTCCTTGGCTATCAAGTCCTCCAAATTCTGGAAAGCTTGGCTAAGAATCTCATCAATCTCAATCTCGAAATGATATGCGATTCCGAGGTTAATTAGCAAATGGATGAGACAGATCCTATATTTGTCGCCGTTTTTGGAAGACATGAGCATGTCTCTCACTTTTGGCTTCATCTTCACTTCAATTTCTCTTGAGAAATCATCAAATTCCTACAAAGATACAATTGAATATATATATATAAAGAATCATGTTGTCTGAACCAACAATCTTGGTCCCCGGCGTGAGAGGATGTGGGGGCTAGGCCAGAACCTCTTAGTTATTCAAAAAAAAAAACAATCTTGGGATCATCTTGTGCTTCTATCTATCTACTTACATCGGCATTGAGGGGAACAGAAAGGAAGTGATCTCCCCAAAGAGTGGGAGAAAGTGTGCCAAGGGCCGACTACTTTCAAGATCAGCATTACTCTCAGTAGCCCTAACACAGACCAAGTGGTGTTGTTTTGCCGGTTTTAAGGAAAGAGTGTGGTTGTGAAGCCAACACCGAGGAAAGAGAGAGAGGTTGGTCGTGAGGGAGAGAGGGACGCTAGGGAGACCAAAACTCGTTCTTGTTGCCTCCATATTGTTGATGTCAAAAAATTACATGCAAAATAATATTTAAGAGGTACTTTGTTTTAATGTTTGATATGCATTCCAAAATTGCTCTGTTTTATTAAGTAAACCCTAGAAGGTGACGTTTCAAATGGATCATGGATGATTTGAATATAAATAAAATCAACTTAACAGCTAATCGTATCTTCGGTTATGGTTGGACACATGTGAACCGGGAAACATGGGAGGGAAAATGTCGTCAGAAGGATCATTTAGTATTTGATTTCATGGGGAAGCGTAGCTACTACGTTATTCAATTAATCAGTCACGTGACCTGTTCAATCTCGCTCTCTCTCTTACTCAACTGCATTAATTTCCCTCCAAGTTACGACGTAACATGATTATCATGAATTATGTTCTGCAACAAGAAGCACATCGATTCGACTGTCGTTTTGGTACGTGTACTGTGTACATACCGAGGTTTGGTGTCTTAAGATGGAGAGAACACACTCTGAGCATGAGCTAGCTTTTTGGGTCCGAAACCTAGTCTTGCCGCTGCTTCAAATACAATACAGATCTATATACTCCGTTTGCATTATGTTATTAACGTAAACCCCGAAGCTAACCTGCGCTCACGTTTTGGTCCTGATTATCCGAATCTTTCCGATTGACTAGTCATTCCGAAATAAAGTGAACAAGTATTCCGAAACAAACAAAAACTAATCAAAAACTTTCCAACGTAATGTGACTGCAGCTGTCTTGGTTTAGCCATGAACTGTGAAAGAACTTGTACGGCATAACACAAATTTGGACGTCCAATTAACCGTCTGTGCCTGGAACCTTAAACATAGGAGTAGGACTTTCATCCTCCAAATGCGTGTGATCCTGTTCCGATCCATAGGAACCGTAGACGGTTGACAGTAATTATGTCAACGGCGCACTTTCTTTGAGAACGCAAAATGTATTGTTATTGAAGCACTAACGAGGTTTCTTTACATTTGTAACCCTTTTTGTTTCATCATTGAATAGATGTGCCGGGTGCCCTAAAAAATTTATTTGGTCGTACGTCTAACTCGTAAATAATTTCAATGGAGAAAACAACACACTACTTTATATGAACCAAGCTATTAATATTAAGAATAAAACACAAAATTAGAAGTTACAAAATTACTTAGTGGACAAAAAGAGGCCAGATTTGAAGCAATGAAGTTGTTGGTAATTAGATACCTCAGAATTTGATAATGAATGAAGTCAAATTTATATATTCATTATTGATGAAAATAATAGATTTGGAAATATAAACGTTAAGGGTGTTTAAGTAAGCATAACCGAAAATGATGATATGGTCAAACCGGAATAGGATGAATGAACAGAGAGGTGATGAGATCTTTGAGCTTTCCATGCGGATTGCTGAATTCATCAGCACCATCCTTGCAAAACACATCGATCAAGCGTGCAATGTTGAGGCAACGCACCAGAACTGGTCGCGGCACATCGATTGTCGTCAAGAGCTCCTCCATGACTATCTTATAGTTATCTCTAGCCATCTTACTCAGTTCTCCAACCGCTTCTTCTTTAGTAACATCGTGTTGGTTTATGTAACAGTTGACCCCATTCGCCACCTCTCCGGTGCTCATCTCTCTCTGCCCATACCCATAGAGTTTATAAGTTTGCAAGACTAACATCACACAACAAAGAAAAGAAGATACAAAGACCTAGCCTTAATTATTCATCTTAATCTTCATTGTGTATAATACCTCGTAGGTGACAATGTCGTTGTTTATACGATATATAGCACACAAAGCTTGGAAGATTTTTGGCTTGGAGTTGAACCATTCGTACAATGGTTTCTCGTCACAATCTTCCATTGCGATAAAGCTGTATGATGCAAAATCATCCATCCCCGCGGTGACCAGCCCAACCTCCATGTACTCTTCGAAGGTTGGCACGTGACCTGCACTTGCCCATTTTGATATTGCTAGGTACGCTCTCCCTAGGCTCTTAGTCTAAGACCACCATTAACAAGGGTATCTTAAAGAGTTCTTAAGTAAGAAATGGGTCTTAGCTTAAGAAAAGTGGCTTAGCTAAGACCCAAAACTAAGAGTTCTTAACTTTAATACTTCTAAGAACCATTTTTAAGATACCATTGTTAATCATGCTCTAAGGATTTCATTTGAAAAAAATAAACCCTTATTTTAATGTTTCTTACCCTTTCCACAGCACTTATGTATAATTTTTTGGTCTATTAATTACCTCATCAATCGTGTGTTGTACACTAGCAGATCTTCCTCGGGGCTTCATTTCTCTTTCAATCTCTCCCATAGTTTCCAATATTAATCGGACGACTATTCTCAAATAGCTTGGTAGTTCGTCAATCGTTTCAAGATCCCACCTACCCAATTTTACCATTTCAAATATTTCTTGTTAAAATATTTGTAAATTAAAGACAAAGTGACTGAGAGTTAAGATTTTTTTTTTTTAAACATAAAAAATGTGTCCACAAGGCATAAACGATAAGTGGATGCATAAGTACCTTTGCAAAGAATCAATGAGACATTTAGCTTGGGGAAAAGTTGCATATGAATCACATGTGTCATCCAAAACAACCAGGATGATGATAATTTTAGTTATTATAATTCTCCCAAGTGAAAATCGTGGCTCGAAATATACTCCCAACGAAGGGAAATAGGTCTCCACAATTCTATCCCTCGCGTAAGGAAGCTTAGAGGGGATATCTAGATCTTTCCACCATCTGCAAAAAAGAAAAAAAAAAACGTCAAATATTACAAGGACGCATAGAGGTCATCATGAACTACTTCATTCACACGGCACAAGAATCTAACAAACCCCCAAATCCAATTATACTCCATATGACAGACCAAACAGAGTCTATAATTTTGGGGTAACCTTGTCAGTTATTAAAAGGGTTTTGGGACCAAAATGCATGTTGATTTCTTTTTTTTTTAAAAAAGAACTAACCAAAGTTATCTTATCTTATTATATAAAGTTGGGTTTTCAAATTTGCTAACTCACGTGATCGCGACACGTGTGTACGCAAAACATCAGATGTAGCCACGTGTCAAATCTAAATTTGTTAATATATGTAAATGCAAAAATAGAAAAGCTTTAATTTAAATCACACAGAAATTTAAATTTTATTTAAAAATAAATAACCCTTCCATCAAACGGGTCTTAATCTAGTATAAAATAAAATACAGTTATGATAATAATTTAAATTTTAGATAAAAAGATTAGGAAATGGCCTTGATTTTTTATAAATTAACAGAATAATATAAATAAAAATTCAAAACCATAAATCACTTAACCTAAAACCCTACACTAACTATACTAGTTTCGTCATATATATATATATTTTTTAATTTATTGTTCTTTTCGCAGTCATCCTTAAAAGTAAAAAAAGAGTAGTATAATATGGTGATAGCATACTTGGTGAGAGTTTTGAGCTCGTGGATGTAATGCAAACGGCAATAGTTGAAATTGAGCTTTGCAAACTTGAGAAGCGTGAGGTCATGACCTTCTTCTTGTTCGTAGAAAGAGATGTATTCTCTTGCGACTAGTATTTCCATGTTATGATAACGAGCTCTATACAAGGCGTCACGAATATGTGAGGAGAGATGTGGAGGAATAGTAGTACTCACTACCAAAGACTCCAACTGGCTCCTAGTGAAACTCTTGGCTTCCTCCATTATGTATTCAGAGGGTGTCCCAAGATGCGCTGCTTGGTATAATTGTAGCATTCCTCTAACATCCCCGACTAGACTCTCCTTGAACCTCCCATCTTCACCTTTGAATCTTACCAAGGTATCTATAACGAAACCAGTATATAGCCAATCATCATGTTGTATATAGATTCGAATGCATATATACATGTGATGATTCAAGGAAAATGATATTGTTACCGCATGAAATATTGTGCTGATAAAGTCGAAAAACCTCAAACATGATGGAGATTGTTTTCAAATCGTCTTCCTCGGCCATTATTCCGTCTAACTCTTCAAAAGCCTGGTTTAGGATCATCTCAATCTCGGTCTCAAAGTAATGCGAGATGCCAAGGCTTATAAGCAAATGGATTAACCGAATCTTGTCCTTATTGCTGTTGTGAGAAGAGATGAGCCTGTCTCTCACGTTTGGCTTCATCACAGATTCAATCTCTCTCGCTATTTTGTCAAATTCCTAGGAAGATACACAAATATATTGATCAAGAGCGATTTTTTTTTTAAAGAGAAGAGAAAAAAAAAAGAATCATGTTCTCTGCCACAAGGCTCCTGAATGGGTCCCTTGAACATTTTTCTTTTGATCCAAATACTTACGGAATCGTCGACGGAAAGTGAGAGGAAGTAATCTCCCCAAAAAGAGGGAGGAAAGTGCGTCGAAGGACGACCACTCTCAAGATCATCACTAGTTGAACTCTTAGCAGTAGCCTTAACACAGGAAAAGTCGTGTTTCATGGGTTTTAGAGAAAGAGAAGGGCGAGAAAAGAGAGAGTGGCTGGTCTTAAGAAAGAGAGGAGCTTGGTGAAGGACAGAGAGAGTTCCGAGCCCAAAAGCCGTTCTTGCTGCTTCCATTCTTTGTACACAGTTTAGAGAGATTGAAATAGCTACTATGTTTCACTTAAGTTACTATATCTGTATGTTTTTAGGTTTCTTCTATTCAAAAGCTTTCTCATGTCTGCTTCTCTTATTTCCCTTAAGTAAACAAGGAACAAAGGAAAGCTACGTTGGTCAACGGGCAGGAAACATTTAATGAATATTGTGTAGAAAAATAAAGTAACAGAATTAAGGAAATTATGTATACAAGAGAATCTGGAAAAAGTGGGATGCAAGCTGCAGAGATCAGAGATCTCTATTAAAGGAGATATATGTTCCCTTGACTTTTCGTGGCAGCGGTTTTTCGGTTCACTTGATTTTCTTAGCAATATCTTTAATTATAGTTAAAAACAATCACTAAAGCTACACTCTTCAAGTTCGTCTCTATCTCTGCTTCTATATACAAAGCTTATCTTCGGTTATTGTTGGACACATATGTGAACCGGGAAAGATGGGAGGGACAATGTCAGACAATCATTTAATTTGATTTTATGGGGAGTACAAGCTAGAGTTTCATGTTTTTCAGTTAACCGGTCACGTGACCTGTTCAATCTCTTGTTTATGATCATGTTATGCAACAAGAACCACATCGAGTCTTAAGATAAAGAGGCACACTATTAAGTTGACCCATTCTTGTTTCTGTTTTTTGTGAAGTACTCTATTTTATGTCTGACTTGTGTTTTAGAAGCCTTATTTTTCCCACTCTGTTTTTAAAGTAAACCCAGAAGCCAACCAACACTCACGTTTTACTTTCGATTATCCGAATCCTTACGCGATGATTTAGTTCCATGTGTATTGATATTTGTTGACATTAAGATTCAAAAACAGAATACTAAAATACAACCTGAAAACACAGAGAGATGATCACAACATTTCGAACTAAATTGACTTATTAGGCGATTGCATTGAAAATATGATTAGTTAATTGAAAGTATCAGTTGTGTCTGCAAGCAATATAGTTTGCCAGAGCCACCAGAGGCTCTGCCTTGTCCGAATCAAACCCTAAAAGCTGTTCCTCTGCTTCTCTGCTCAGTTTCTCTGCAACTTCTCTCGATCTCTCCAAACCTATCAGTCTTGGATACGTCAGCTTTCCGGCCATTACGTCTTTTCCGGCATTCTTACCCAATTCCTCCGTAGATTTTGTTACGTCAAGTATATCATCAACAACCTGAAACAATAGGCCAATACATCTCGCATACTTTCTAAGTTTCTCGATCTCTTCCTCTGTTCCACCTCCCATTATGGCCCCTAACACTGCTGCTGCCTCCAACAACGCTGCCGTTTTGTGGAGGTGGATGAACTCTAGACGCTCCAATCCAGCGTCGTGTGGATTCAGTCTTTCGCTGCTTAGGTCAATTACTTGCCCTGCCACTAACCCTTTTGTCCCTATGGCCCTTGCCAGCTCAACCACCGCTCGAATCATCCTCTCGGGAGCGACCAACCCACTCGACACAACCGTCATGTGCTCAAACGCCAAAGCAAGGAGTGCATCACCCGCCAAAACCGCCATGTCTTCTCCAAATACCTTGTTAGATAAACAAACTGGTTCAACACTAATTCAACATATCTGTGAGCCCTCATATATATGATTGAACAACATACCTTGTGGTTGGTTTGCTTGCCTCTGCGGAGATCGGCATTGTCCATGCACGGAAGGTCGTCATGGATTAGGGAGCTCGTGTGGATCATCTCGACCGCACAAGCAGCTGACATGGCAGTAGCCTCGTCGCCTCCCACAAGCTCGCAAGCGGCAATGCAGAGCAGAGGCCTCACACGTTTTCCGCCCGCTAGCAAAGAGTACCGCACCGCTTCTTGGATTGTAAGGGGCTTCAGAAGCGGTACGGAATTGTCGAGAGCCGCATTTACAGATTCGGCTTTGCGGATCATATACAACTTGAAGTCAAAGGCGGACTTGTGATCATTCCCTTTTCCCTCTGGTGGAATCATGTGTCTTCCTCCGTCTTGTGAGGTGAGAGCAGAAGAGAGAGATAAAACGGAGCGTTTTTGGAGATTGTTGAATGAGGATATGGAGTTGTATCGTCTTCCTCTAGATTGGATGAAGAGGGTTGATGAGCTGACATGAACAGTAGTAGCCATGACCGACGCAATAGTAATTGTGTTTGCCAATCAAGAGCATGTGGAGCTCTTAATAGGTTTATTGGATTTGGAAGTCGTATGAATTAAAAATGCATTATCTTCCAACAAAGTACGTAGAATGAATTACGGGATAAACTACGTTCATATTTTAACAAGGTAAAGAAGTTCAGTCAATATTAGAATATTTTGCAACATGGTTATAAGTATTATGAGTTTACTTATGCCCGATCCTTAATCGTGAGATTGTCAACTCTAACATGTGGCAATCAATACTTCCGAATTTTGATATTGTAAAATATCGAATATATAATAAACTAAATTAATTGTAATGATTATTACATTCAAAATCTGTTAGTTATTGATTAAACGATAAATTATTAATTAGGTGAATTTGCTATATAACTAAACAAGGCTGATCCTAGAGCATTAATTATAAAAAAATCTTTAGACACCCACAAAAAAAAACCAATGGAAATGTTCTTGATTACAGTTCAAACTTGATTTGTACTCGGAGAACACGCTTGAGGCATCATTGTAGCCACATCTACTCAAAATGTTCATAAGCTAGAGGCTTTAAACAAGACAGCAAAGTTCTAGAATCAATCATGCCTTAAGGTAACAATGAATAAACAGAGAACCCACAAAAGGATGGATACACAACATCCCCCAATAGATGGGAAAAACGGAGTCATAAAAGTTCTTCTTAGAGATAAATATAAATTTTAAGAAACGAACACAAAGCAAGGATTAACTTAGAATTGGTGTGTGTTCGACGTCATTATGAAAGGGGTATTGGGTGGACGTACAAGGAGGTCATAAAGTGTTCGATTTTGCCTTTGGGTTCAGTGTATCCATCACCCTCTGTGTAGAACACATCCATGAGGCGTGCAAAGTTGAGGCATCGCAGCAGAACCTGGCGCGCCACATGGTCATGTGAGTTCATGAACTCCTCAATAACCATTTATGGGTTAGTTTCATCAATGCCTCTAGAGTGTCAGCGTCACCAAATATTTGAAACTTATGAACCTTTTTGAGAAGATGCTGAAGCTAATAAGGACGATATCAACTGGACCGTTCTAATATCTGTGTTTGTCAGCAATTATGAACTGTAAGTACCTGATTCTCTGTGTTTTACTTACTCTGATCAAGTAGCCTACAAGTTAATAAGACAATCATTATGTTCTACGATCAGACTTCACAACTTTTCTTTTATAGTTCACAATCTCTTGACTAAGGACTGTGCAAAAGGCTCATAATGCTCTAGGATCAGACTTCACAAATTGGTGTACCTAATTTTCTCTACTTGTGAAGTCAATTTGTTTTTATTTGAGTTTCCTACAATCACTAATTAGCGAAATCTGATATGCATTCAATTATTCTAATGATTATTTTGAACTTCTTACTTTGTTAAAATATGTAAGATTGTTACTTTTTTATCCCATAATTGAAAAAAATTCATACCATTTTGTTCGCAGATAATACAATCTAAAATAACTGTGAAGCTGAAGATGTTGACCTTCATTGCTTCTAACTACAAGAAACCTATTAAGAAAAAAGAAAACCCTTTTAAGAGCTCCACATACTCTTAAAATATTTTTAAAATAAAGTGTAGCATTTAAAGCTTTCTACCAATCAATGACCCCGTAGTTTATACTGTATTAAATAAATATTAACGTTGCACTGAAATTACATGTTTTACTTCAAATATCATTATGTTAGACAAAATAAAAATAAAAGTCTATGACATCACATGGCAAATGTGGGGAGTGGAGACCCCTAGACATGTTCAGTTCAAGAACCAATAGTTTTTTTTTTTGGTAGGCTTTAAGAACCAATAGTTGACTTCACGTGTCTTTCTGTAAACTTGATCCACTGGTTATTTTACTTTTTTATGTAAGTAGTGACCCTTCCATTATCTTAATGATGATGGTATAAGTACTATATAGTAAAGAAATGTGGAAATTTGTGATAATAATTAAACCCATATGCCTGACCTGATAGATCATTGGATTAGTTTTGTGATTATATTATTAGTATTGTTATATTTCTAATATACAAGTTGACTGTGATTCTCAGATCACGTAAGGACCGGAAGGATCAGATATGGAAGAAGCTTCCAGGCGTCTGCCTCATCCTACTGTGGCATTTTATATTAGCAGCATAGTTTTTTTTAGGACTTAAAATATTTTTAAAATAAAGTGTAGCATTTAAAGCTTTCTACCAATCAATGACCCGTAGTTTATACTCCCTCTGTCCCATTTTATTAGATGTTTGGAGTAAAAGCACAGAGATTAAGAAACAATAAATGTTTTCTCATTTATGAAAATTTAACCAATAGAAGAAGATACTGCATAATTAAAATAATTTAAAACTATTAAACTAATATAAATTATGCATTGAAAGTAGAAAAAATCTTATATAATGGAACAAATGATAATGCCTAAAACATCTTATATATTGGGACAGAGGGAGTATTAAATAAATATTAACGTTGCACTGAAATCACATGTTTTACTAAAATATCATTATGTTAGACAAAATAAAAATAAAAGTCGTGACATCACACGACAAATGTGGGGAGTGGAGACACCTAGACATGTTCAGATCAAGAACCAATAGTTGACTTTACATGTCTTTCTGTAGACTTGATCCACTGGTTATTTTACTTTATATAAGTAGTGACCCTACTTATTGTGATAAGCATTAAACCCATGTGCCTGACCTGATAGATCATTGGATTAGTTTTGTGATGATGACAGCTGGGATGGGTGATTATGCAGCGTATTGCTTTATAGGAATGGAAGATATCAATGAGATGGAAGCTTTTGAGTGGCTCAATTCCAACCCCCTAATCATCGACGCTCTGAATGTACTGTTCCGTATAGCAAATGATATAGGAACCTACAAGGTACACCACACATTAAAGCCATGGATCTCTTTGGTTCTTTTGATTTTCTTTTCCTCTTCTTTTAGTCCTCATGAATAAATGATATTTGTAGACCGAGATAAACAGAGGAGAGGTGACTAATGGGCTCAACTGTTACATGAAACAATATGGAGTCACCAAGGAAGAAGCATCCCTAGAGTTGCGTAAAATGTACAAGGACAACATATTTTGCTCTCATGTTATATTTTTATGCTGCTAATATAAAATGCCACAGTAGGATGAGGCAGACGCCTGGAAGCTTCTTCCATATCTGATCCTTCCGGTCCTTACGTGATCTGAGAATCGCAGTCAACTTGTATATTAGAAATATAACAATACTAATAATATAATCACAAAACTAATCCAATGATCTATCAGGTCAGGCATATGGGTTTAATTATTATCACAAATTTCTACATTTCTTTACTATACAGTACTTATACCATCATCATTAAGATAATAGAAGGGTCACTACTTACATAAAAAAGTAAAATAACGAGTGGATCAAGTTTACAGAAAGACACGTGAAGTCAACAATTGGTTCTTGAAGCCTACCAAAAAAAAAAAACTATTGGTTCTTGAACTGAACATGTCTAGGGGTCTCCACTCCCCACATTTGCCATGTGATGTCATAGACTTTTATTTTTATTTTGTCTAACAGAATAATAATTGAAGTAAAATATGTAATTTCTGTGCAACGTTAATATTTATTTAATAAAAACTACGGGGTGATTGGTAGAAAGCTTTAAATGCTAAACTTTATTTTAAAAATATTTTACGTCTTAAAAATAACTATGCTGCTAATATAAAATGCCACAGTAGGATGAGGCAGAGAAGTAACACATACATCCTAAGACAAGGCCAAGAAGAGTAGACTTTCTTGTACTGAGAGTGTCTAAAAATGGAATCATCAAAAATGTGTTTTGGTCCTAAAACTCTCCCTATCATTCACAACGTCCCTCTCTGTCTGAAGACCAACTTCTCTCTCTTTCCTCGCCGTTTGCTTCAAAGCCAATCTCTTTCCTCCAAGAAATCCACAAAACACGACTTGTTCTGTGTTAAGGCTGAGACTAGTGGCGATCTTGAGAGTACTCGTCCATTGACGTACTTTTCTCCATCTTATTGGGGAGATCACTTCCTCTCTGTTCCCATCGATGACTCCGTAAGTACACACCTGGTCCGATGTCGACATGTTTTGGTGGATATGTCTTGTTAATTGTTACATTACATGAATTTTTTTTTTTAACTAAGCTATACATTGTATATTTGTAGGAATTTGAGGCACTTGAGAAAGAAATTGAATCGGTGTTCAAGCCTAAAGTGAGAGACATGCTCATGTCTCCCCACGTCAGCGACAAGGAGAGGATTCGTCTCATCCATTTACTTATCAGCCTCGGTATCGCTCATTACTATGAGAATGAAATCGAGGAGATTCTACACAAGGCTTTCGGGAAGTTGGCCTGCTTAATTTTGGACGAGGATGATTTGGAAACAATGGCAATCATGTTTGAGGTTTTCAGATTATACGGACACAAGATGACTTGCGGTATATTGACCATTATTTAAACGAATTAGATCAGTATTCTTGTTCGATATGTATATATAACATAGCATATAATGGTCTGGTGTAGATGTGTTCGGTAGATTCAAAGGCGAAGATGGGAAGTTTAAGGAAAGTTTAGTTGGGGATGTTAGAGGGCTGCTACAGCTATACGAAGCCGCGCATCTAGGAGCACCATCTGAAGATATAATGGATGAAGCCTTAAGTTTTGCGCGGTATCACTTGGAATCGTTGGCAGGCCACGAAACAAGCTCCAATCTCTTTAAGCATGTAAAAAACGCATTGTATAGAGCTCGATATCATAGCGTAGAGATAGTAGTAGCAAGGCAGTACATCTCTTTCTATGACCAAGAAGAAGGCCACGATGAGACTCTCCTCCGGTTTTCAAAGCTCAACTTCAATTTTTGCCAGATGCATTACGTCAAAGAGCTCAAAATTGTCACCAGGTAATTAATTATATTGTATATTTAAGATTCTCGTCATCAATATTCTTACAGATGTAACTTAATTTATGGTTCCAGATGGTGGGAGGAGCTAGGTATCGCATCTAAGCTACCGTACTCCATACGGGACCGAAATGTGGAGGTCTATTTTGGGAGCTTGGGAATATTTTTCGAGCCGCGATATTCACTTGCGAGAATTGTATCGGCTAAACTTACACTGATCATGACTGTTGTGGATGATACATGTGATGCATATGCCACTCTTCCTGAAGTTAAGAGTCTTCATGATGCTTTTCATAGGTATGTATGTAGAGTCTTATCTACAACCAAACCATACATGCCAAGCTCTCATGCATCTATGATCTATATATATTAATGAATTTAACAGAGAAACGAAATGTCCAGATGGGATCTGCGTGCCATGGAAGAACTACCGAGGTATATGAGAATCATCTACCAAAATGTGTTCGAAACTGTGGAAGATATTGATCGAGAAATGATAGCTCAAGGAAAACTTGGTAGGTTGCAACTAACTATAGATGAGGTAAGCTAATCGAACTCAAGCAGTAGAAAGAGTAGAAACCAATTAAGAGTCAATTAACAAAGGACAACGATCCTTGCAGATTAAGAGTCTGATGATATGGTATCTTGGGATAGCAAAATGGGCACGCTCAGGTCAAGTGCCAAGCTTTGAGGATTACATGGAGATTGGGATCCCCTCGTCTGCATTGGATGACTTTGCGTGCTACGGCTTTATATCAATGGACGATTGTGATCAGAAGCAATTGACCGAGTGGTTTTATTCCAAACCCAAAATCTTCCAAGCCTTGAATGCTCTGTTTCGTCTCAGAAATGATATTGTCACGTTCGAGGTACGTACACAAGTTTTAATTCTGATATTTATATATTTTTTATCCAAGGCTATTGCAACATCTCTAATGTAAAGCAGTACAATACACAGCAAGAGATGAGCAGAGGAGAGGTGGCAAATGGCGTCAATTGTTACATGAAGCAACATGGTGTTACCAAAGAAGCAGCGGTTGAAGAACTGAGGAAGATGGAAAGAGAGAATTATAAGACTATGATGGAGGAGTTCATGACGTCCACAGCTGTGCCACGACAGATTCTGGTGCGACCCGTCAACATTGCGCGTGTGATGGATTTGTATTACAAAGAAGGTGATGGGTTCGGGCATCCTGATCAAACGCTCATACACCTTCTTGCCTCTTTGTTCCTCCATCCAATTCCTCTTTGAATAAGTATTTTTTTATATGTTTACTTTGAATTAATTTCGTTGAACATGGTTCGAACAAGAAGGCGAATTATAAATTTAAGTCACCAAATAAGAAAACTTGATTTGAATGTTAGAATTACGAATACAGGCATCAAATTGAGTTATGGGCTCATATACTTGACCTACTATGGTATAGGCCCATTTCTTATAACTTGTATTTGTATGTGAACTTATGAAGTAATGAGATGAAGAAGAAGAATCTTTTGCTTGCTCGTATCTTGGTTAATTCGGGCCATCACAAGTCACAACTCACAACACAGTGGTGGATCCAAAGTTAAAGTACTCTGTTTTGGTTAAAGTACTCTGTTTGTATAGAAGAACTCGATTGTATGTTTGATTTCTACCTTTCTCTTCTGCACTATATATTTAGTAAAATTCGAAAGAAAACTTTTCTCAAGTTTCTGTTCCCATTACCTGAATCCCCCATGTCATCAACGAGGCTGAAACATTAATGAATGATCTTATCTTCGACTTGGTTTCAATACACATAGGAAAAACATACTTATAACTTTGATAAGTACGTTCAAAGAGGAATTGGATGGAGGAACAAAGAAGCAAGAATGTCTTTGAGCTTTTGATCGGGATGTCCAATTCCATCACCTTCCTTATAATACAAATCGATCGCACGTCCAATGTTGACCACTCGCACCAGAATCTGACGTGGCACCGCCCTCGAAATCATGAACTCCTCCATCATAATCTTATAATTCTCTCTTTCCATCTTCCTCAATTCTTCCATGGCTGCTTCTTTGGTAACACCATATTGTTTCATGTAACAGTTGACGCCATTCGCCACCTCTCCTCTGCTCATCTCTTGCTGTTCATTTATACAACTAAATTAGTTTTAAATTTGGTACTACTCTACATGTTCGTCTTCTAGCATGTGGTACATTGGTACATACTACTTACCTCAAAGGTGACAATGTCGTTTCTCAGACGAAACACTGTATTCAAAGCATGGAGGATTTTGGGTTTGGAGTTGAACCACTCGCTCAATCGCTTCTCATCACAATCATCCATCGCTATAAAGGCACAGGCGGCCGCGTCATCCAAGGCAGCCGAGGGAATCCCAACCTCCATGTACTCCTCAAAGCTTGGCACGTGACTTGTGCGTGCCCACTCTGCTGTCGTTAGATACAGTCTCATAAGGCTCTTAATCTGCAATATCATCTCGATATGAGATCATTAAGACTAAATTTGGTTTCCATTTCGTCTACTACAACATTTTATTACGTACCTCATCTACAGTCCTTTGGACACTACTGATTTTTCCTCGACCCCTCATTTCTCGATCCATCTCTTTCACGGTTTCAAACACGTTTCGGTAGATGATTCTCATATAAATTGGTAGTTCTTCAATGGCAGCAAGATCCCACCTGGACATTTATTTTTCCTTTGTATCACATACATCACAAATGGATGAGATCTATGGGTGTATGCTTGCAGACAAAGATTCTAAATGCACACCTTTGGATTGCAGCAGCAAGTTTTACAACTTCAGGAAGAGTTGCATAGGCATCACATGTGTCATCCAAAACAGTTATGACAACTGTAAGTTTAGCGCCTAAAATTCTCCCAAGTGAATATCGCGGCTCGAAAAACATTCCCATCCCTCCGAGATAGATCTCCACACTTCTGTCCCTTATGTAAGGCAGCTTAGATGTCATACCTAACTCCTCCCACCATCTGCAACCATGAATTAAGTACATGATATATATATTGAGAGTCTTATATATACACACACACACAAGCACACACCAAAAAGGGAAACTTAATTTACTTTGTGACAATTTTAAGCTCTTTGATGTAATGCATTTGGCAAAAGTTGAAGTTGAGCTTGGCAAACTTGAGGAGCATCTCGTGGTGATCTTCTTCCTGGTCGTAGAAAGAGATGTATTGTCTTGCGACTAGTATTTCTATGCTGTGATATCGAGCTCTGTACAACGCATTTTGTATATGCTTAAAAAGATTGGAGCTGGTTCTGTGGTTTGTCAACGACTCCAAGTGATACCTAGTGAAAACCAACGCCTCGTCCATTATATCTTCAGATGGTGTCCCAAGATGCGCGGCTTCATACAACTGTAGAATACCTCTAACATCATTGGCTAAACTTTTCTTAAACTTTCTATCCTCACCTTTGAATCTATCAAAAGCATCTGCACAAATTCGATATGACCAAATTTATAAATATGTCTATAAAGTTAAACAAGGAAACATAGATAATCCATTAAGTTCTTATACCGCAAGACATCTTGTGTCCATATAGTCTGAAAACCTCAAACATGATGGCCATTGTTTCCAAATCATCTTCCTCAGAAATTAAGCTTTCCAACTTCAGGAAAGCTTGGTTAAGAATCTCTTCGATATCAATCTCAAAATAATGCGAAATTCCGAGGCTGATAAGCAAATGGATCAACCGAATCCTCTCCTTGTCGCTTCGGTGAGAAGACATGAGCATGTCTCTTACTTTCGGCATCATCACCGAGTGTATCTCCCGCTCAATCGCATCAAATTCCTACAAAGATATATGAACATGTCAATAAAGAACCAATGTTATACAAGCAAGAAGACTGGTTAAGTGTACTTACATAGTCGTCGAGGGGAACAGAGAGGAAGTGATCTCCCCAAAAAGATGGAGGAAAATGCGTCAAGGGACGACTACTCTCAAGATTCTCAGTAGTAGCAGCCTTTACAAAGAGCGAATCATGGTTCGAAGGTTTCCGAGAAAGAGTCTGGTTTCGAAGCAAACGGAGAGGTAAGAGAGTGGAGCTGGTCTTAAGAGAGACAGAGACTTTGTGAAGGTGAGGGAGAGTTATAGTACCAAACCCCATTCTTGTTGCATTCATGTTTAGTCACAGATAAAGATCCGTGAGAAGTTTATAAGTTCTCTGTTTTTATGTTTTGATGTCTGTTTTACTTTGTTTTCGGTTCTGTACTCTATTTTTAGTAGATCAAGAAGCCAAGTGAGATCTTCAAATCGAATTTTCAATTAGAGATTCTTGCACATGGGGGTGTTTGTAAACTTAATACAGATTAAAAATCCGGACTTAAAAATAATATGTTTATTTTTTATAAACGATCAACACACTGTCAGCATTCAAGATATACTACAAAGAAAGGTGGGAATTATCAAACCAATGTTGAGTTACTCTGTTTTACGTATGAGTTTTTTACTTGGTAAGACGTTCACGTTTCACTTCTCAGCATCCGAATCCATATGGCGAGGCTCAAACATATAATGAATGATCTTAAATAAAACCATCATAACGGAAGCTTTGGTGTCCAAAAATTGACAAGCAAAAAATCTTATCTTCGACTATGATTTGGTGTCAAATGATATGGGCAAATGGGACAAATGTCGAGAGATTTTTTTATTGGGAAATCCAAACGATCACGTTACTCAATATTTTGTCAACCATTTCTTGTCAATAAATGTCTACAGATCATTTATATTGGATTGAGAATCCACTATAATTGATTTCTTTACAGAATAATGGATCGAGAATCCCTTAGAATTGATTTCAGTGTATAAATTAGTATGAACAATGAACATTCAATTATGGGATGAAAAAGTCACTACACATTGTAAGGTAAGAAGTTCAACTGGGAATAAAAAATAATTGATGCATATCATATTTTCGTTAATTAGTGAGTGATTGGAGGAAATTCTAATAAAAAGTTGACTTCAAAAGTAGAGAAACTAAATCATGCACTATATAAGAAAATTTGTGAAGTCTGATCCTAGAGCATTATTATGAGCCACTTGCACAGTCCTTAGTCCAAAGATTGTAAACTATATAAGAAAATTTGTGAAGTATGATCCTAGAACTTAATGATTGTCTTAACTTCTAGGCCACTTGGATCAGGTACTTACGGTTCAAATTTGATTTGTACTCGGAGAACACGCTTGGGGCATTGTAGCCACATCTAACTTCATATATAAAGCTCACACTCTAGAGGCTTTAAACAAGACAGCAAAGGTGCTAGAATTAATCATGCCTTAAGGTGACAGTGAATAAACAGAGAACCCACAAAAGGCTACACAGAGATAAATATCAAAAAAGAACACAAAGCAAGGATTAACTTAGAATTGGTGTGTGGTCGACGTCATTATGAAAGGGGTATTGGGTGGACGTACAAGGAGGTCATAAAGTGTTCGATTTTGCCTTTGGGTTCAGTGTATCCATCACCCTCTGTGTAGAACACATCCATGAGGCGTGCAAAGTTGAGGCATCGCAGCAGAACCTGGCGCGCCACATGGTCATGTGAGTTCATGAACTCCTCCATAACAACTTTTTTGTTGTCATTGTACATTTTACGTAACTCTCGGGATGCTTCTTCCTTGGTGACTCCATATTGTTTCATGTAACAGTTGAGCCCATTAGCCACTTCTCCTCTGTTCATCTCGGTCTACAAATATCATTTATTCATGAGGACTATAGAAGAAGAGGAAAACAAAAACCACAAGAAGCAACCATATAGATCCCTAGCTTTAATGTGTGGTGTACCTTGTAGGTTCCTATGTCATTTGCTATACGGAACAGGACATTCAGAGCTTCGATGATTAGGGGATTGGAATTGAGCCATTCAACAGCTTCCTTCTCATTGATATCTTCCATTCCTATAAAGCAATACGTTGCATAATTATCCATCCCAGCTGTCATCAACCCAACCTTCATGTACTCATCAAAGGTTGGTACGTGGCCCGTCCGTGCCCACTCTGTTAACTGTTTGTCCCCCTTTGCAATGATCTTGAACTGTGTTTAGAATCCAACAACTAATTAGATTCCACTAACTATACATATACATTTGTTTCATATTCAGCTTATTTGGATACATTACCCTTTCCAACACTTGTTTCACGCTGTATGATCGTCCTTTCGGTCTCATTTCTTGCTCAATCTCTCCCACAACTTCAATCCAACAATGCCGCTGTTTTGTGGAGGTGGATGAACTCTAGACGCTCCAATCCAGCGTCGTGTGGATTCAATCTTTCGCTGGCTAGGTCTATCATTTGTCCAGCAACGAGCCCTGTTGTCCCTATGGCCCTGGCCAGCTCAGCCACCGCGCGAATCATCCTCTCGGGAGGGACAAAACCACTCGACACAACCGTCATGTGCTCAAACGCTAAAGCAAGGAGTGCATCACCCGCCAAAACAGCCATGTCTTCTCCAAATACCTTGTTTGAGCAAAAATTGGTTCAACACTAGTGAACATTTACCAACATAGATGAATGATTCAACTCTAGTGAGCATTTCTCTGAGCCTTCATATGATTGAACAACATACCTTGTGGTTGGTTGGCTTGCCTCTGCGGAGGTCGGCATTGTCCATGCACGGAAGATCGTCATGAATAAGAGAGCTTGTGTGGATCATCTCGACTGCGCAAGCGGCTGGCATGGCAGTAGCCTCGTTCCCACCCACGAGCTCGCAGGAAGCAATGCAGAGCATAGGCCTCACACGTTTTCCACCCGCCAACAATGAGTACCGCACGGCCTCCTGGACCGTGAGGGGTTCTCGGAGCGGTACTAAAATGTCGAGAGCCGCGTTTACAGATTTGGCTTTACTAATCATATAGGACTTGAAGTCAAAGGCAGAGTTTTGATCGTCGCATTTTTCCCTCTGGTGGAATCATGTCTCTGGCACCTTGTGAGGTGAGCGCAGAAGAGAGAGACAAACCTGTGCGTTTTTGGAGACTCTTGACCGAAGATATGGAGTTGTCTCTTCTTCCTCTGGATTGGATGAAGTGGGAGAGTGAGCTGAGAGGAACAGTTGTAGCCATGGCCTGTCCACCGTCTCCAATAGAACTTTATAATTGGGTTTGCCTATTAAAAGAGTATGTGGAGCTCTTAGTAAGTTTTTCTTTTTTCTTAATAGGTTTCTTGTAGTTGGAAGCAATGATGGTCAACATCCTTACTGTTCTTTTAAATTGTATTCTCTGCGAACAAAATAGTAGGAATTTTTTTCAATTATGGGATGAAAAAATAACAATCTTACATATTTTAACAAAGTAAAGAAGTTCAAAATAATCATTAGAATAATTGAATGCATATCAGATTTCATTAATTAGTGATTGGAGGAAATTCTAATAAAAAAATTGACTTCACAAGTAGAGAAAATCAAGTACCCCTATATATTTGTGAAGTCTGATCCTAGAGCATTATGAGCCTTTTCCACAGTTGACAGACATTAGTCAAGAGATTGTGAACTATGAAAGAAAATTTGTGAAGTATGATCCTAGAACATATAGTGATTGTCTTAACTTCTATGCCACTTGAATCAGAGTAAGTAAAATAGAGAGAATCAGGTACTTACAGTTCATATTCGATTAGTTCAAGGAGAACATGTTTGGGGCATTGTAGCCACAAGACCAAGCTAAGCTCTTGATCTGCGAGGGAACACCATGTAATCTCAGATAACTTGCAAAAAGCTAAATAAAAGATTCATATAACATAAGCTGATGTAGAAGAAACACCTGCAAGTGAATTTTGAACTAACAAGTCACACGCCATGCTCATCTTCACAATTCTGCAGTCCTTAGAAGTTAGATCAATGCAGCCAAAACACACTACTGAAAGCACAGAGCTTTGGTTGAAACTTCTTTCCTAAAGCATACATCTTATTAAACCAGTGTAGCGCCTCCTCATGCTCTCCTTATAACGTTCCAGCTGATATCGTCCTTATTAGCTAATACTAAGAACAACTCCACACATTTATAGATGTCTTCTTTTCCTAGAAAATCCTTCTCAAAAAGTTCAGAAGCTTCAAATATTTGGTGACGCTCACACTCTAGAGGCATGGATGACAGCAAAAGTGCTTCAATTAACTGACACCTCCTCCTGTCTCAATTATCAGAAACAAACCAAACCTAACTCTGAAACAAGCATCAATCATAGCAGTTCATACGACCATATTTTTCACAAGGCTTCTCTCTTAAGCTTCAACAAAATCAAATGGCAAAGCTAATGTCATCTCAGAATTCTCTTCTACCATACCCTGAAAAAAAAATGCTAATAGCCTCATTCAATTTCTAATATTTTCAAATAACCACTTATCTAGGCGCTCGGAGAAACATGATACAACAACTTCTTAGATGTCTCACATGTTTAGTGCCTTGTCACCTGAAAGAAACCATTAATACTCCCTATTCCCTAACCCTAAGTCGCGATTTTCTCAGGCATAGCACTGAACACCTCCTAGTAGTCTTCCTCCGATATCATCAAACTGTAAGAAGTTGTGGTTCTCTCGGGCATTTCATCAAACACCTTCCTTGCTTTAATCATCTTACCTTTTTCACATAGGAGGTCGTCATCATCGCAGTCCAAGTCAATACGACATACACCTGAAAGCCACATTCAATATTTCCGGTCCTTTAGTGTATCGTGATCTGAGAATCGCCCCGCATGACCTATTGATTACTGATTAAAGAAGGCAGGTCGTAAAGGCGGGAAACTATCTTCCTTCCACCTATATATTATAAAGGGTATTTTAGTAATCTCAATGATCTGTCATACGTTACTTTTAAAAAAAAATCGGAACTATTTAAAATTTATGATTTATAGTTTTCTACTTGCATAAATTTACGCCATTATAATTCCGAATTTTTTGATTAGTTGATATCGGAAATTACTTAGAATTATATTGATGATGAGAAATAATATACAATAGACTAGTGTGAAGTAATTTCCGATAGCAACTAATTAAGTTTTTTTTTTTTCTTTTCACAAAAGATCAACTAATTTATCGAAAACCATTAAACTACAAGGTTTTATATCAGATATATATGCTAGGGGATAATCAGACAAATATTGGAGAATAATTGGAGAAGATTAAAGAAGAGCAAAAGAGATATATGTGGAGACATGTGAACCGAGCGATAATTGATGCGACGAAGATGGAGTGGGTCGGTCCACTATAAGAACCACCACTCGTGCTAAATGCTATGATGCTTCGAATTGAATCTCATTTATTCGGTCAAATCATTTCTTCTCCAACGTCCAACACCCACATGTGACACGTACCTTATCAAGCATATCGTATACGACCCCCAAAATTAAAGTTTTCTGCTTCTTCTTTTTTTGATATCTTTTATAGACCTTTAACTAAGTATTATTTACACAATACTCCTATATCTTTAATCTAAATTTAGTGTCGGTACGTGTATTGTGATTGTGACATCCATTTGCACATTTAGCCTACATTATATCTTTTTTTTTTTTTTTTTGATCAACGCCTACATTATATCTATTACGTTAGTGTCCCGAACCGTTTTATAGGCGTGTAAATTGTTCATTCGTACAAATTAGAAAACTTAGGAAATAGTTATATCTTATTAAAATGCCCACCTAAAAAATGTGATTTTAGTTCATAAAATAACTGGATTTCTCCATTTATTACTTTATCATATGAATTTATTGTAGAATCGTGATATTTTTCTTTAAACATCCGAATCATTCCACTTAATCAATTCTACAAATGATGATGGTTTATGAATTAAAAGAATGATGATGGTGTATGAATTAAATTTTGACATTTCATTTAATTTATTCTTTCCTATACAAATCAATTCCTCAAGAATAAAATCTTTCATAAAATAATTACTTTGTGGACATTTTATAGTAGTGGTTTTTTCTTTGTCTACATTGTAGTGTATTATCCGGAGCATTTTAAAAAGTTCTCCTTTTAAAAATAAAATAATTCTACGTCCGTTGATTTGTTCCTAAATTAATTGCAAACACGAGTAAAGTAGATGTCTCGGCTTTGTTTCTTCGCCTGTCCTAAAACCATATCTATAAGTGGGTATTGCATTGTACCAAACTTGAAAGATCTTGCCTGTACGCATATTCCACTTGTACAATTTGAAATTTGACATTCAACTAACTTTATAATATATATATATATATATGCTCAAGAATTAATTTCATTCAGTCATGTCTCATCGATGGTCCATTATCAGTTGTTAGGCCAAAAGCTATACTATCCTATTCTTATTCTTTATTGTTAACTATTATTATCATCATCAATATTATCATATTACATTACATATGATCACATGATTGGTCGTGTAGTGTGGGGGGACATCTTATCTCATACGCCAATCTGCCTAATTTAATTAATTAACCTTTCCCTATATATAAGACCTTAGTTTTGGGTCAAGCTAAAATATATTTCCAAAGTTATATACTATATTTGATCTTCTCAACTCTTTCTCTCTTCTCACAAATGGCGTCTACGCAATATGGGTTTGATCATCAAGGCGGCGTGGAGATTATCAACGATGAGCTTATCATGTCCTTTTTGGAAGAAGAATCCCCCGTCGAAAATCATAGTAGCATCAACAAAGAGGAAGAAGAGAAACTAAACCGTGTGATTAGATCGCTAGAAGTGGAGATCAACATGAGTTCTCCGACCATAGAAGCTAGGAAAATGGATATGCAACAGACGATAACCGGTCTCGAAGATGATTTCGGGTGGCTTAACGACTTTGATATTGGTATGATTTCGTTGCAAAATGATGATGAGATGATGAATTGGTGTACGGAACTTTCTTACATGGATGGTGTGGTAGATAGTAGTCTTCTTGAGATTGAAGGTGGTGATTATTATTCTCATATTAACTATGGACTCACATTTGAGGAACCAACACTTTCTCTATGGCAAGAGAATAATGATGTAGTTTTGTATTGATTGATTTCGTGAAGTCATAGTATAACAAAGGCTGTTTCGTAATCCGTTAACCAAAAAAAAAGAATAAGAAGGCTGTTTCATAAATCTTTAACAAAAGGAAAGAAGAAAGAAAGGCTGTTTTAATCAGTTATCTAACCTTTTAAATTCATGTATATGTATTCGTAAATGTTATGTTGATGTTACATGTGTTTTTTTTTTTTTTATATTATGATTGTTGAGAAAGCAATATACATAGAAATATTTTAAAAGATTTTCGTGATTATCACTTGACAATAATAATTATCAAAACTAGCATGCGTCAAGATGTAACCATGGATGCAAACATCTGAAAGTTCACATGTTTTTTTTTTTAAAACTTTTTTTTATGATTGATATATTTACAGAAGTATATTTTAACCATAATATAACTTGATATAAAAAACATGATCGTGTTTAGAAAGTTTGTTTTCTATCCAATTAATACCCGTTGACGTTAACAAGAACTACAAACTATTACATTTTGTTGAATAGAGAAATAGTCGAATATTTATAAGGTATAAAAATTTAATTAGAAATTTTGCAATATGATTTTGAAACGACATTAACCTTTGAATTCCCACCAAAATATTAATTGGATTTTGTTATTCATAATTACATAATGGATGCATATTCGCATTATTAATTTATGAGAAACAGCGACAGAGGCATGTCCACTGTCATATCAAATTAGTGATACTAACATAAGTGATCAAATGGGCTGATTGTTTGAGACTCTTGGTGTGGAATGAATGAATTTGGTTATAGAAGCTTGAACTTAATCCGGCTGTTAAATTATGACAATTATTTCTGAAAAGTGAAAATCATGTTTTATTGTATTCACACAAACCAGTACCTACAAGTGCTGGTTGGAAGTGAGAGTTTTTTAATAAAATTTTAAAACCATAAAATATTAAAAAATTTATTGGATAAAGATGTTTTGAAGACTAAAAAGGGTTAAAGCCTATAGGTATAACATATAAGGCCCATAAGACATGGGCTTTTGATTAACATATCCAAGAATCATATATCGGTGGATATACTCAAAAGTTCATTTCTATATATAAGGCACAAACATCAGCTCATCACACTAAATACTCACTTTTTGGTTAGTAATTAGTACAAAACTAGCATCAATTAAGCTTCACTAGAGGCCTATGCATTATACTTTGTTTAATAAATAACGTAATAGACAATCAAGAAAAACAATATAAACACAGACAGAAAGAAAAGTTGAGTTTGGTGGTGTTCTAAAAAGAATTGGTTTTGATCTCGACACCAAGTTATTTTTGTAGTCTTTTAGTATATTCTTAGTGACTAAGAAATAGATACAAATGCACATCAAGTATATGCTTTATATTCCAATTCATTAAAATAAGATTTGGCTGCTTTACAGTCACTAAACTTTTTCTATGCTTTTTCTTTTCCCATGCACGTTGATGGTGTAGATTATTGCTGTTTTAGCAGGAATCTACATATACATTTTTGCAGGGGTTTTTTGCTTTTAATCATTTGGATCCGGGTTTTGACCCGGTTTTATTCTGTTCGGATCCTGGATAAGATATATAAGGAAATATGTAATAAAAAAACGTCATTAATTCTTTAATTACCTATTTAAACTCTGTTTCCTTAACTTCTTCTCACATTAATCGGTATGCCATTAGCTTTTATTATTTAATTTGCAAAATTTAATAAAGATATTAACCAAAGTAAATCTCGAGTATGTTGCTATATTCTCGAGTGTATATTCTCGATTTAATGTTTCCAATTCTACCTAATCCCAACTAATTTAATACTAAATATTGTTGTTTCCTTACCTAAGATATAATTTTGTTGTGATTTTAGTAGATGTCATTTACTATTTGCTATAATTTAGGGCTTCAAATATTCAAATAATCGATTATAAATAAAACAATTACTACTCTTCAAACCGAAATCATAGCATATTCCTAAAGTACATACGATATTTGCTATGTAAATCTTTTTTGGTAAGATATCTTTGCAAAAAAAAAACGACATCAAAATTAAATGCTAACAATAATTCTAATATCAGAATCAAATCTTCGATTTATACATATGCATGGTAATATGCAATTTTTTTAGTTACGGTACAAAAAAAATTGTGAAGAATATTTTTCACACAAGTTGCGGTAATTAGTTTGAATAGTCCCTAATCATGTGGGATCTGATTTTCTTATATGCCAACATATCAAAATTTGAATTTTAAATCCAAAAAATAATTGAAAAAAGGTTCTTAATTCGCCCTAAAGGCTGAATCTATATATATGCTTCTTGAGAGCTTCTCTCTATATAGGTGCCAAAGTCTTTATCGGTTTCTCCATATTATCTAGGTCTTTTAGGTGTATATCCCTTTGATTATTGCATTGCTTGCATGCTGATTACTAATTGTTGGCTTATAATTCTAGGGTTTCATTAGGATTTTGATGATTAATGTATGATAATGACTTGATGAAGTTGTATTGACAGGAGAAACATGGCAGATAGCACCAAAAGGAGGAAAATCGATAGAGTATAATTCCTCAGTGAGCATGTTATGGCATTGAAAGAAGCGATACACTCATACATCCGTATCATCAACGTTAAACCTGGTGACAATGGTCCAGGAATCCATGCCCACTAAGCTGTTTTGGTAAAATCTTTTAGAACTATATCAATTGTTTGGAGTTATATATATAATCTTTTTTAACTTCTTGATATGCGATACACAGTGAAAGTGTTTAGAAACGTGTTGGAGGCAGAGTGAATGAAGTTTAGAAAAAGCTTCAGCGTTGGCCACTGTACCGCCTACATGAAGGCGGGGCGTGAGGTTATGGAGGTTTAAAGCCACGTAAGCGTTGTTGGAGAAGGAAGCAGAGAGGAAGAGCTCGTGGTAGTGAGACTTAGGTGAAGAAGAGAAGAGGAAGAAGAAGGAGTAAGATAAAGCAGGGATTCTGAAGGCTAGAGTTTGATTTCGACATCAATATAGCTTCATCTTAGATAATCACCAATCGAGAGGTTTTTTTTTTTCTATTTACTGTTTAGAGTGTGATGGTTTTTCTGCTAAGGATTTGATGTTCCCAATTATTGATCTTCGGAAGAATCTTTTTAACTTTAATATCATCTCTTCACTTAGAATATTTATTAGGAATATGATACATAAATTATTACCACATTATACTGATTTTGGGTCTCATTTGTGACAAAACATGAAAAGGTTTTTAGTGCTAATGTTCGACGTGTCAAAAATATACATAATCATAAAAAAACAATTTCCAAGTTTTTGTATTCTCCTTCTCTTTTTGATATCAGTTCTTACTAATCAAATTTCTAATTGAATATTAGTCTCTTACCAACCGGTAAGGAAATGCCAGATTTGACCATATAATGTTTAACAATATGACAATCATAAAAGATAATCATAAAATATACTTACCCGTGAAATATTATGTGTTGAAATAATATCCACAATTTATATTTATATAATTGAATGAGTTTTAAACGGTGTTTCTGTTATTTTTTAATGGATCGTATATTCAAATTTCATATCTTATGTTTAATCGGATTTGGATCAAAAGATCTACTTCTTTTAAAACGAGTCATGTATTCTTCTGTTCTGTTTTTTTTTGGGTTATGTCCAATCCCTCTTCTTAACACATTAATAATACACATATACAACTCTATATATCATTTTCATGTATTTAGCATAAATTTAGAAAAAATACATCAACCCGCGGTAATACATCAACCCGCGGTGTACCGCGGGTCAATTTCTAGTTTAGTAACAAAACACTTTTTTTTTTTCTCCCTTCAACAAAACTAGTAAAACTACATGTGCCAAATTTCTGTTTCTCTTATCTTATTAAGTATTAACTTTCACTTTAATTAAATCTTGTCTTTATTTTGTGTCTTTTGGAGTAAAAAGCTTAGTTAATTAAAAAGCTAAGCTTTCCAACTTTAATCTTTCTGACATTTAAGACCAATTATGCAAGCTAATTAACACTTCCCCTCTATTGATTGACTTAATATAATAAATGATAAATCTCAACATTCTTCTATACGAATATGACAATGATTCCAAGGATTTAATCACATCAATGACATCATGTACTAATAAAAATCCAAATTACATATTTTCCAAAATCGAGGTTTATTATTATTATTATTTTTATGTGATTAAACCCTATTAGGCTAATAAAGAAAACTGGTCAATAGTTTTTTTCCCTTCTTTTTTTTTGTCAATAGTTTTTTTTCCTTCTTTCAAATATTATATATTACTTATTTATAAATTACAAAAAGAACTCTGTGACGTAACTCTATCTAGAAAAAAGCTATAGTAAAGTGAAAACTGAATTGTTTCACATATCCAAATAATAATCATCATTACTTTTTAAACAAAAAGTTCCCGCAAATTATATAACTGTAAATCAAGAATTTTATTATCTAACTCCTAAAAAAAAAAAAAAAATCTTTAACAAAAAAAAAAAAAACTCCTAAAAAAAATAAATAATATTTTGTACAAGTTTTCTCTATTTATTAAAGAAATATTTACTCAGATGTTAACCAAAAGTTCGAATATTACTAGAATATCATACATTTTCTAAAAATTACTCATATGTTTTGAGCATTTGTGTAATTACAATTAACACCCTTCATTAGTTTTTTTAATTAATAATTTTTAATTCGTTTTTAATTAAAAATAATAAATAAAAATTTGATTATCCATGTCATTAATCCACATCACCAATCTCACACTCCTCAAACTCACGTTATTTCTCCTCTTCTCTTTTTTGTCTCCAAATCCAAGAAAAGCTTTTAGATCATTTCTCCTCTTCTCTTTTTTTTTGTCTCCAAATCCAAGAAAAGCTTTTAGATCTAATAATCTGCAACTAACTTGGGTACAACATTGACAGAGATCTTCAAATTGCAGGATTGGGCTGGATCTTCCTAGACCTCACAGCCACAACGCTTGCCATAGGGTCCCAAATCAAAAGCTTCATCAGATCTACTCGCAACCACGCTCACGAAAAA